ATGCCGATATCATGGGTCAGCTTGACGGAACGTTCAAAGAATCCTCCTCTCTGGCTCAGCCCGAGAAGCGCAACAGCTACGCAGTAGACGAGGCGAACGAAGGAACACCGCACGATGACGGAGAAGCCGACGACAGCAGCGACGACGACGACGAAGAGATGATCGTCACGAATCGCGGCGACGACATCCTCGAGTTCGCCAAGACGCCCAGGCTGGATCCGGCACGACCGGATCACGCAAGCAGCGGCTACTTTGGCCGTGCGTACGACTTCATGACGTCGCCACAGGTTGGAGCTTCACACCCTGGCGCAGTGCAGCGCGATTTGCGACCGTTCAAGGAGACCAATCGCGACCTGGTGCGGACGATCAAGTGGTGCGGCCGGCTGGCGATCTCGGCGTACGGATTGCACGTGCATATTGTGGATCTGCCGCCCACCTTCACACCCTCTGGCGAGCGCTTTTCGCGCCAGACGTTTGCGTATCTATCTCGGCTCAACGCCGATGATGTGCTGCACGCCGACATTCAGACGCTGGACGCAGACGCCGACTACAGCCCGACGTTCTACGTGGTGCGCGACTACGTGCGAAAGGTGGTCTGTGTGGCAGTGCGGGGTACGCAGTCGTTCTCGGACATCATTGTCGACCTGGAGCTGCAAACCGAGGAGATCGAGCTACCACAGGTGCAGCCCACGCCGGGCGAGGAGTTCCGCTGCCATGCGGGCATCTGGCGCGCCGCCAAGGCGCTCGTCTCGCCGCAAAGCAAGCTGTTCGCCACGCTTCGACAGGCGCTGGCGGAGAACGACGGGTTCGGCGTCATGTTCTGCGGACACTCGCTGGGCGGTGCGATTGCGAGTGCGGCTGCGCTGCTGCTCGCCGAGTACTTTATCCCGGACGGCGCCGAGCCCGACCAGGGCACGTGGGTGACCAACATGTCGTCGGGACTGCCGGCAAGGAGGCCGATCCGAGCGGTGAGCTTTGCGAGCCCCGTCACCATGACGGCCGACCTGGCATCGAGGGCGGCGCTGGGCTCGGTGCCGTTGGTGACCACGGTGGTTCTGGGCAGCGACGTGATTCCGCGCGTGGGGCACGGTCAGGTCCGAGAGCTGCGTCGCGTTCTAGGAGCGCTGGCGCGCGTGCGACGGCGACACGCCATGGCATCGTCCGAGGGACAGGAGGATGCTCAGGTACACATCTTGCGCAGCTACTGGGACTGGCGTTCCATTTCGCAGGCAGAAGATCCGGACGACGTGATGCTGCACCGCAAGGAGCGGATCGAGGAGCAGCTGTGGTCGCTGCGCAGGGAGGTGGAGAGCGACCTGTACGCAGCGATCAAAGCCCGGCTCGACGGCGGCAGCAGTGCCGGTGCGAGGATCCCGCCGTCGCCCTGGGTCGGACCGCAGCAGAGAGAGCAGGCACCGTTGCATGCATTGGCGACAAGGAGGCAGGAGCTCGACTCGGCGACTTTGAGGTCCGAGGCTGCTCAGGGAGGGCCATTGGTACCACCGGGGCGGTGTGTATGGATTGAAGGAGGCCAGCTGTATGCGGTTCAGAGCCCGCTGGCTTTCTTTAGCCTGCCAGAGCTGCGGGATGACATGTTTGCGGCCCACTTTCCGGCCGCGTACGAAGAGGCGATTCTCGATCTGCACACCTAGGCTTTCCCACTACGAATAGCAACATAAAGTTCAGCGCGATGGTCCGACTGCAGTACGACCAAGGATTGAGCTCGTCGCTCCGAGCGTCTTTCTCTGCGCAGGGTTGGGTGCGATCCGTGGATCAGGGCCATCGAGCACCTTTTTTGGCGCGGCGGTTTCGGACACCGCGCTGTGGACAGTGCGCGGTTGTCGGAGCTCCACGTCGATATGGGGAGTGAGGTGCGCCATTGCTCGTACGCGCTGCTGTGCCATGGCTGCGACCCTGACTCGCTGGCCAGTGCGTCAAGCGGCCACTGAGGTGCATGAAATCGCTGAGGGAGTGCGGAAGATTTGATTGCGATCGCGAGCGCGCAGGAGGGGAAAAAGGCACTGGCGATGGCAACGTGCAGCGGCAACGGCGAAATTCGGCACCAGCGGCAAGCGCAATTCTCGGCCTTGGCGCTCGCTCAACGCTGGTGCTACGGCGTAGGGCGGGCAAGGTTCCCATGAGACGGACTTCCGATCCCGTCTATCAAGCTCGCCTGCGCTTACGACGGGCATGCAGGGTCCAGCACCCACGGATATCGATCCCGCGCGCGCTTGGCCGCCTGCCGGACGGTGGGCGGCCTGTCAAACTTGGCCGTAGCGCTCGCCCCCCCGTGGGCTAGGGTGTAACGTCCTGTAACGTCCGATCGTCGAGACCACAAACCGGTTTCACACAGCTTCCAGAAGTCTCCTTGCGAGCCCGAGCCCGAGCGCGCGCGTAGAGTAGTGCATGCCTCCGCCCCGGGTCGGTCTTGCGCGCACGAAGCTGCCTTTCCCTCCCTTGCCAGGGCCGTATATATGGACCCGGAAGCATGCGCTGCGAAACCCCCTCTGTGACTGTTTCGGTTCATCACTCTACCACCTGCGATCTCTGAACTAGCAACATGGCCACAGCTGCTGTTGACATGGCTCCGCGGAGCAACAAGCCTCTTCCTTCGCCCCAGTTCGGTTCTGCCCGCCGCAGCGCTCCGCTCCGCTCGCGTGCGCCCGTCGTCGATGATGCTGACGAGCCCGAGGTAGCCGAGATCGACGAAGCCGAGCCGGTGGAGCCGTTCTCGCTCGTGCCGCACGTCGCCGAGCAGACACTCCACGCCGTGCACAGCGCGATCTTTGGGCAGCCGTGGGCGGACCTTGAGCTGGTCGTCAACGCCGGCACCAAGGACGAGGTGATCTATGCCAACTCCAAGATCCTCCGCAAGGCGTGCCCTGCGCTCATGCGCCAGATCCGCGTCACGGGCCGCGCGGAGCTCGACACGATGGAGGGCGAGCTGCTCGCGTCGGGTGTGGCCAAGGCTACTACGCGCGGGGCGCGACCACAGAGCAGCCGACGATCCACCAACAGTCTCGGCCTCGTCGACTTTGGAGGTCGCAGCTCCAGGCTCGGTGAGCTCGAAGACCAGCACGACCGAGAGGAGGAGGAGATGGACGAATATGCAGACTCGGTGGAGCAGCTGCAGCACGACGAACATGACGAGCACGACGAGTACGACAATGAGGACAACTCGCCCGTCGAGTCGGTCAAGGTCGCCGGGGCTACCAATGTGGGCGCGCCAGTCGAGGTAGTTGTGCCGCCTACGTTCTCGCGCTCGTCGTCGCGCTTCTCGAAGCTGATCAAATTCATGAACAAGGACAAGATGTCTCCCGGCGCCGAGCTGGAGCCCCCGATGCTGGCGTACAATGCTGCGCCGGTGACGGACTACAGCAACGACACGGTCGGACGCGGACGTGTGAGACGCTACAGTGCTGCCAACGAGCTCACCAACGCGGCGCCACGCACCTCGACCGCCTCTCGTGTCCAAGTGACAGGCTGTTCGGCCGCCACGCTCCAAGCGCTCGTCTTCTACCTGTACACGGGCCATGCCACGTTCGCCTCGCGTCTGCCGCCCTCTCGCCGCTACGCCGACTCTGCCACTGGCTCGGATGGCGAGTACAGCGACGACGAGGTGGCCGAGCCGCCTATCGCACGAACGGCCAAGACGTCGAGCTTCCCGCCCGTGTTCTCGGCGACGGCAGCGTACTGCGTGGGCCGACAGCTCGGTCTGCGCGATCTGGCTACCAAGGCGTTCGACCACATCTGCCTGGAGCTGTCTCCGCAGAGTGTGTTGTCGGATCTGCTGAGTCCATTCGTGGACCGCTTCGACGAGGTGCAGCGCGCGCACCTCGAGTACGTCTCGGACCACTGGGACCGCGTCAAGCGCCGACCGGACTTTGAGCACACGGTGGGCAGGCTCGTCAACGGCGAGTATCCGCGCGCCAACAAGGCGCTCCTCAAGCTCTTCGCCAAGCTGTCGGTCACTAGTGCCGCCCCGCGCATCTAAGGCTAGAAGGACATTAGGTTTCCCGTCAGCTCGTGTTGTGTATGTTTTGTAGCAACGAAGTGTGGGTTTTGGCTTGGATATGTGTGTGGCTTTCCGACGGAGGGGAGATGTGCATAGCCGAAGCGCCGGTAAAAAGGCCGCGTTGCCGCGTGGTGTGCACGAACCACCTTTGCACGTTTTGAACTGGTCGCCTCTTGATCACCACCATCAGCTGTAGCAAAGATGACGTATCCGACGATTGAGATGTACGACATCTCGTGCACGACGACGCGCGCGCCCTGGTCGCCGTTTACGACGCGCACGTATCTTGCGCTGCGCGTGCTCGACATGCCATTCCACCGCACCATGGTGCCAATGGTGGGCATCCGCTCGCTGCTCTCATCCGCGGGCGTTTCGCCCAACTCTGACGGCGACCTTCTTCTGCCTGCCATCACGCTCACCTCTGATGGCAGCACACGCTGGCTCACCGAGAGCGACGACATTGCTGCGCATCTCCAGGAGCTCTTTGTTGCAACAGGCAATCCTGTTTCCAAGTCGCTCTTTCCCGATGAGAATGCGAGGGAGGCGGGCAAGGCGGCACGTAAGGCGCTGCGCGAGTCGCTGTACAGTGCCGGTCATGCGTGGAAGTCGCTCATCCCCGCGGTACTCGATATCCTCGAGCCCGAGTCGCAGCAGTGGTTCGTAGACACGCGCACCAAGTCGTGGGGCAAACATCCGCGCGAGATCCTCACGCAAGATGCCCCTCTCAACGAAGAGCGTGCCGGCGGCGTCGTACAGCTGCTGGCCAAGGCGCTGGAACCATTCAGCAAGCTGTACGACGACAAGAAGCTGTGGATTGGCGGCGAAAGTCCAGTGTATGCGGATCTCATCGTCGTCGCTGCGCTGCAGTGGTACAGCTGTGCACGCCCGCAGGAGTTCAAGCAGGCCATCGAGATGACAGGCGGGGGATTGGAGAAGGCATGGATTGCAGCACAGCCTCTGCTGAACGAGTAGGATTGGAAAGGATCTAGAAGGCGCCTCCTGCGAACCAGAGTGCGGAGCCGGTACCCATGCTTTCCTTCCCCCCGCCGTTTTTGAAGGGCTCGTCCGTAACGCCGATGCTCCAGCCGGTAAAGAAGTCGGCCTCGGCCTCGACGAGCGCGCGCGCCCGGGCGGATTGGATGCCGTACCCTTTCAACTGCTCCTTCTGCGCCGACGTGTAGTCGGGCAATCCGCCCTCGCCCGAACGCGGGGCGAGGTCGTTCTCGTCCCACTCCCAATCGAACATGTCGTCGTCGTCGTCTGCGCGTGTGGCTGTGTGTGCGTTGGTCGGTTGCGGCTGAACGTAGTCGTTGATATCGATGCCCTCTGAGCCCGTGCGTTCGACGACGGTGTGTACGATGAGGGGGGCGCCGAACTTGCGCACCTCGTGCGGCGAGAGGTCGCTCGGCATGGGCTCGAACTTGCGTGCGCGGTAGAAGCGGCATCGGTTGGCAAAACGTTCGGGGAAGACGCCCTTGACGAGGAAGCGGGCGCGTTCGCGCGGGTTCGGATTGCGCGAGCTGGGCGTGATGAGTCGACCTGCCTCGCACCAGATCGCACCGCGCCGTTCGAGCGCACGCAGCATCTGCGCGAACAACGCGTCGTCCGCCTCGGTGGGCGTGAAGAGGAAGCGGCTGAAGCGCTCATCGTCGCTCCCGCGGTCGAACTCGCTGATGAGCCGCGCCGAGGTGGCCAGGTCCGAATCGGACGCTTTGTTCATCTCCACCGGGTATGGGCCGCCCGTTTCGAGCAGGCGCGGGGGTGGGGCGAGCAGGTCGAGCGTGGCAAAGACCATGGGTGCTTTGACCGACTTGATGGCTTCGTTACCGCGCGCAGTATCGGGGGAGCGCACCTGTGCAATCGTCTGTGCTCCCTGTGCGGCCGAGTCGGGTTTGGAGTCGGAACTTTTGGCTTTGGCCTTGAGCTTGGCGAGCCAGCCTTGTTTCTCATCGGCCTGCTCGGCGTCGCGCGTGTAGGACAGTACGGCCTCGGCGGGAAACACTGCCATCCGGTTGTAGATGCCCTGTCCCGCGTAGACTGCCGACACGACGCGCTCGACGAGCGGCCTCGATACAATGTGCGTCATCTCTCTCGCCTGGGCCTGGAAGAGGCTCACCTTGCGGTAGCGTCCGACGTTGCCCGACCTAGCCGTCATCTCGGCACCGTTCCTGGGCTGTGGATGCGACAGGAACGCCAACCCGCCGCGGGGCGAGACTGCATCGAGCTGGCACGGGTTAAACCCGGGGCTGCCTAGGTACGCCACGGGGATCTGTACGCCGAGCCGCTTGCGAAGCCGCGTGACAGACTGCGAGACTTTGCTCTTGGCCGTCGCGCCCGCTTCGCCGCGCGCGTGCGTGGCGGGACAACCCACATCGCGGAAAGGCACCGGATGCGGCGCATGCAGGTCGTACGAGGCAAAGAGCGTGCAGTGCAGCAGGAAGGCGGGCAAAGGCGACGGCTGAGGCGGAGGCGGCAAGATGCGTCGTGTGGTGGTGATGTGCGGAAGCTCCAACGCCGCCTGCGTCAGCGCAAAGATCGACCACGTAGGCGCGGCCGATGCTTCCTGAGCGGCAGGTGCAGGTGCGGTTGCCGGTGTCGAGATGGTCGCAGTGGGATCGGATGCTGTTGATGGGGAGGCGGAGGCGGAGGCCGAGTCGTAGGCCGGGGCATAGCTGGGCGGCCCTCCGTTGGCCATGCTCTTGTCCATGGTATCAATCTCGCCGCGCGTTGGATGCGATGGAGGGCGGAAGGTTCGAACGAAGTTGGCACTTCGGGGCAGGCACCTCCGCCTACAAGCAGCCGAAACGCCGGCTGGATTGCATCCGAAGTGTTGCTTCTCCGCATTTTTCGTGCTCCGAACACGCCACGTCCAAATCGGGCTCCCACTTGTCCCCCCGTCCCTGAACCTTGGTCTCGGCACGGCCTGACTGCCTCACACTCAGGCTCATACTGTCCGCCCATCAGTCATGCAAGTCAAACCATATCGAGCTGTACGTGTCTGCATTGATGTGCGCATAACCTTGTCTAGAACGCGGCGCCCTTGGCTGCCAGCTGGCGCACCTCGGTAGCAGCGAGCAGATTGCCGTCTGCGAACCTCTGCACCGCCTGGGCCGTCGAACTTCCGATAGGCGTCCAGGTGACATTGTGCCCGACACTCCCCAAAAACGCTGCGGTCTGGTTGCTGAATCCTGCAAAGCCGGGCACCTTCGGCGAGTAGCTCTCGACGGTGGTCTGGTTGGGACTCAGCTGGTCGTGCCATCGGGGCTCGGCAAGGGCCTCCTGAGCATCCTTGCGGCGGAAGAGCACGTTGTACGCCACCTGCGTCACGGCGGTGATGATCCTCGAGCCACCGGCCGAGCTGAGGCTCAGCTTGAGCTCGCCCGTCGCCGCATTCTCCGCAATCACCGCCGAGATGGACGAGAGCGGCCGCTTGCCCGGACGGATAAAGTTGGCGGCGGTGGGGAGGTAGCCAAAGAAGTTGGAGGCGTTGGGCGACGAAAAGTCGTCCATCTCATTGTTGAGCGGGAAGCCGTGGTGCGTCATGAGCGTCGAGCCCCAAAAGGTGTTGATGGTCGTGGTGAGCGAGATGGCCATGCCGTCCGCATCCACCACCGTGATGGCCGACGTGCCGTGGTCGCTCAACACCTCGGCATCGCGGTTGTCCGGAATGTAGTAGGCGGTGGGGAAGGTACGGTCGTCGCTGATCTTGCGCTTCTTTTGCTGCGAGAAGCCGAGCTGGAGGTACTCGCCCTCGAGGCGCGAGACGTTGTTGACGTACGCCGGGTCGCCGTAGTTGGTGCGCTCGCCGTAGGAGAACTTGTTGGCCTCGATGAATCGGTGCGTGGAGACGTTGACGTTGTCCAGCTGCTCCTCGCCGTCCGCGCGGAAGTGGTCGACGGTCTGCAACGTGGACAGCACCACGCTGCCCGAACTCGGCGCCACCGTGCCGAACAGCTTGTACTTGCCCCCGCGCAGCGATACGGAGCGCGGCTGTCGGAACTCGACGCTGTACTTGGCCAGATCATCCAGCGTCATGATACCCTTGAGCACCGTGTTGTTGTGGATGGTCTCGACGATGTCCTTGGCGATCTCACCCGAGTAGAAGGGGCTGATGCCCTTGTTGGCAATTAGCTCGAGCGTGTCGGCGAAACGAGTCTTCTTGATCGTATCGCCCAGACCTGCCGCAGTGCCGTTGGCGCAGTACACCTCGCTCCACAGCGGCTCGCTGCACAGGAACGGGTACTGGGTGATGTTGATGGCGCCAGCGAGCTCGGTGGTGACCTTGAATCCGTTGCGGTTGAGCTGGATGGCGGGCTGGAATACTGTGGCCCAGTCGAGCTTGCCGTACTTCTGGTGGAGGTGCCACCAGGCGTTGAGTTCGCCGGGGACGCCGACGGCGAGACCGCCGTAGAGCGAGGCGTTGCGCACCGGGTTGGACGAGTACATGTCCTCGGTGGCTGCGCCGGGCGCCATCTCGCGGAAGTCGACGTGGATGTAGTTGGCGCTCTTGGCGTGCGCGTCTGCGTGGGTGGCGCGGCGCTGGTTGGTGCGCTCATCGCTCGAGACGGGCGAGCGCAGCAGCGCATGACCGCCACCACCCAGACCCGAGTGGTACGACGCAATCGATCCTACGCAGAGTGCCGTACCGATGACCGAGTCGACAGCACTTCCGCCGGCCTTGAGCAGCTCGGCGCCGATGTTGGAGCAGACGTCCACCTCGGATGACACGGCACCGTGCGTGCCGTACACACCGAACTCGGGCGACTCGCCCTGCGACTTGGCGCCGTAGAACGACGGAAGCGTATCGCGCTCGAGATGCGGCAGTGGCGATGCCGAGACATGGCCACAGACCAGAAGCGCGGCAGCTGCCACAGCAGCCACCTTGGATCGCGAGTTGTTGCGAACCATCGTCGTCTAGTCTAGCTGTCCAGACGTAGAGTTTGGGCAGATGAGGCTCAGATGGAAAGAATCCACTTTGAGATTGGCTTCATATATACTACTCGCGGCAACGGTCGATCGTTGCGAAGAGTGCCCGAAAAAAGAAGTGGGCGTCGGTGGTCACAAGGGCAGATCCGCCTCGCTTGTGTCCAGATGAAGTGGAAGCGAGACCAGAGTGGGGGCGATTGCGAGCTGCAAGATAGCCAAGCGAGATTGTGCGTCCCCCCAAAACACTCGCCGGCACGCCATTCTCTCTACCGCCGGCCAGTGTGAGTGAAAGCATCATCCGACCATGCATCCCTCATGCAGTCAATCCTGCCTCACACTCGCCGGGAAAAACGCCGATCCGATCCAGGGTGGAACGAGATTCGCCGCCACACGGTGTTCACGTGGGGCGAATGGTTGTCCCCCACCAATACCAATGAAAGGGGGGCGATCGCTCCATCTAGCGGGCTTGCCAAGCGGGTTGAGAAGGACCCGAGTTCCTGTGATTTGATTCGGGCAAACAGGGAGCGACTGGCTCAATGGTACCTGATATCGGTTTGCACCGCATGGAGTCGACTCGGCTTCGCTTGGAGCGCCGCTCGCTTAGCCCGCTGTAAGATCGATACGCAGGCGACCGCGGCCCATTTGCCATTAAGATGCAACCGCTGAACGCAAGACACCGATAGCCAATCGCAGTCAGCCCAACTGTCCTTCCTCTGCATCATCCATCAAGAGCCTCGTCGGCACTTTGGATGCAGAGGTGCGGATGAAGGTGGGGTCTTCAGCCGCGGACAGGTGGGGCTGACGTGGGGCGCATAGCGGAGGGCAGCTGCATGAGGGCGTGATTCGGCGCTTTTCCCGCACGAGTAAAGCAGTCTCCGGAAGTCGGAGGTGATGACGACGCTTTGGACACGCTGTCCAAGATGGACCCTGAAGAAGATGCGAGCGCTGGAGCCGCGTAAGTCTTGTTGATTGGCTTGGCTTTCCTCGTACCTCCTTCACACCAATCTCAGCTTGCACCTCGGCAAAGCAAAAGGCAAGATGGACTTTGACCCTGCCAACCGCGACGTGCCCACGCCTCGGTACGAACTCGAGTCTGGATCGGAGGACGAGCTGGAGGCCGAGACAAGCAGGCGCGGTGCGCAAGAGTCTCTGCGGCTGCTCAGGGCCGATGGATCCGATGCAGCGGGCGCGCTCGAATCCGGCTCAAAGCTGGTGATCCTCGTCGCAGGTGCAGGGATGGCACTGCTTGGCTCGCTGGGAGCAAGTGCGCCGGCCCAGCAGTACACGCTGCAGGCTGGCGGCGAGCAACATGCTGGCGTTGGTGTGGTCGACTCGACGGCTGGCGACAAGCTTACCGTGGCCGTGGTTGCTCCTCCGCCGTCGACGCACTCGTCGCGCTTCCACGGCATGGCGAGGACACTGCTGGAAGCGACGAAGCCATCCAGCGTGGTGATTGTGGATTCGTACAGCCCACAGGACCAGCTGCACCGCTCGGCGTACGAGTGCGAGTCGGACGCCGAGTCTGAAGCGCCGATCAAGTACCTCGCCTCGCTGCACTTCCTGGCGGGCAACAAGGTGGATGCAAAACGAATGGCGCCTCTGCGCGCACCCGAGGCAGCGAGTGGACCAGGCGCCGCGTTCTTTTCCGAAGTAAGTTGTGCTCAGACAAGAGACAGATTGGCAGCAAAGAGCATGCTGGTAGAAGCAACGACCTGACGCTCTGTTGTGTTCCTGGGGGCTTTTGACAGGCGATTGTGCGCGACGTACCGGCGTTACTTACGCTGCTTGAAGACGTGAGCTTCCAGTCGCACGTCCAGCTGTACGGCTCGCTCGGATCGGCGCGACTTTCCGCCTCCTCGTCGCAGGCGCTTGCGGCCGTGACGGGATTGAGCGCCACCAAGACCAACACTTGCACTCGCACCATTCTGGACTTTGCGACGGCGAGACGCACGCAGCCTGCCGCCAACCTGGCCGTGTTGGGCGACGGCAACATGTACATCTAGGCTTGGCCGTCAATCGGCCCGATATCACGGCGGCTGCCACGTGTAACGAGATGACTGTGTAGCCACGCACAAGAGAGAGATCGCTATACGACGATCCGCCCGCGCTTCCCCACGTGGCGACGCGAGTGAATGCGGGTGGGCTCAGGGCGGAAAGAGGATGAGTAGACCGGGAAGGGGGGGGGGGGGGGGGGGG